AGATCCACGGTTTGAAACCACCAGCTGCTCCAAGGGAGAAAGACTGGGCTTTCTACTCCTGTAAACAGGGGCAGCTCTGCTCTGTCCTATAGGTTGGCTCTGAATCAGAATTGACTCAATGGCCATGAGGATATGAAGACTAAGACAATGTTATCTGGATTCCAATGCTTCATGCATTGTGCCTTTGTCTAATCTCAGAGGGTGGCAACAAAGGGTTCTGCTAGAGAAGTTAGCAGCCATCTGTAGTCTTTAAACCGGTCATTCTCACTGGAAAGTGCCTTTGTTATCCTGAACCACAACATCTCGGGAGCAACTTCAATGGCATCGTTGTGGCTTTATGGATGATATCTGGAGGCGAAAGGTGTGCTGTGGAGACCCTCCACTAGACTCTAGTTTTGTTAGAGAAACTCAGCAAGTTCCCAGGGCTGGCCTTACTTGACAAACCTCAGGCCTTTACAAATGCCTTCTAGCATAGAATCGCATTCTCAGGCACCTGCTAGGAAGAGGCCTATGAACCCTGAACACTTGTCCTCCAAGAGTCAGCCTAGCTAGCACATTTTCTGGAAAGTATTTTCCTAGTCCATAAGCACCCCTTGATTGTGCTAGCTTTACGTACCCCTATTTTGGGGCAGTTCTATGTCACCGGGGTTGCTTTGAGTTGAAAAGTGAGCCAATGGCACCTAACCACAATAACAACAACTATGACATCTTAGGAGTTCCAAGGTGGCACAAACAGTTAAATGCTCAACTACCACTTCAAATCTACCTAGAGACCCTTCAGAACCTAGGCCTGGTGATATGAACTGCTTCTGAAAGGTTATTACCTTGAAACACCTCTGGAGAAATTCTACTCTGCATACACAGGGTCCCCATGAGTCAAAATTCACTCCACAGCACCCAACAACTAGTACATTTACCTTCTGTAATGCAATGTCCATCTTATCAAATCATCTCACTCGCCAGCATAAATATCTTGTGGCCAGGTTCAAGATTGGATCATCTGTTTAGCCCCAATACGCTGTAGAATGCTAAGCACATAATAGACCTTGAATACTGTTGATAAAATGGTTAAGCAATCTCTCTTAAAATACACAGATAAGGGAAATACCAGCTAGAATGTCTCTATGAGAATAAATGGAAAATAGATTTTCAGGCAGGGTTCTAAAATTAATTTCAGTTTCTTTGGGGTCAGGGTCCCCCAGGGGCACATAGTTCCCAGCCTTTGTTACCTTCTCCTGCAGTGTACTGTTGGCCTTTGCAGCACTGCTTATTTAAAAGCTACGGAGATAAAGGAAATAACTGAAATCCAGATCAGTTCATTAGATGGGGTGCAGTTCTAGAAAAAGTTGGGCATGGTGGGTGATATCAATAGTTATTGGAGTTTAGGGACTGTATGTTGTTCTCACTCAGCCGGCCCTTGACACTTCACACCTCCTATGCCAGGGGCTACCCAGCCCATGGAAGCTGTTTTATAAGCCAAGCTTCGCAAGGCTTGTCCCTCGGTTCCCAAGTACATGTCAAGCCACGTGTCCTGAGTGGGAGAATTCGGTCACTGTACCCACAGAAGGAATAGTCGGTGGTCTGTTTCTCTAGCACTAATGTCATGTTCCCAAGGAAAGAATTTACATTTCCTTTCTGAAAATGGTTCCAGGAGCATTCCTTCAGTGGAAATAAAAATCCACTCAAGAAGTGTTACTTAAATTTTGAGGCAGGGTTTTCAATGCAAAATTTCCACCGGTCCTATCTTTAAATTCTAGGCCTCCGGGGCAACGTTTTCAGGAAAAGGGCCACCTTTATCCCTGGGACACAGTAAATTGTCCACTCCGGGGCTTGGAACTTCTTTGAGACCCAGCAAAATGAGACTTGCACGGGCCAGCCATGAAATGTCCAAGCTACTTTTTTGTTTTTGTCTCCCTCGATCAAACTGCTATCGACATGAAAAGATTTATCACAACTTCAAGCGTTCTAATTATTCTGTAAGTACTTGTTACCACCCCCACCCCCGAAAAGAATGACTGAGCTGTCCAAAAGGAGGCCCGAGTCAATAAACGGAAAGCTGTCACTAACCAATTCCGATATGCCCGTGATCCAGTTGTGATAGGTTAACAAAGACAGGTTTGAATGTTTACCAGGGCTCAGCCATCTTGACTGAGTACATGAGGAGGGTACCTCCACCTGCTTCTTGGCCAGGTACTTGAACACGGATTTCTGCTATGTCTACGAATCTCAGCCTGCCTCACAAAACAGGCCCAAGATGTTTCCACTGTCAATAATGACCTACAGAGAAGAAGAGGTAACACACAAACAAAAATAAGTTTTATTTCCACCGCGGCACTAAAGCTTAAAACTTTATTTCTGACATTTTATGCCCAGGAGCCAGGGGGTTCGGCTATGGGCAGGGTGTGCGGAAAGCCTGAGGCCCACTCTTCCATAGCGGGATGCACACATCCTCCTGCACATGGTGGATTAGCTGCTCTGCGAAAGGCCTTAAAAAAAAGTAAAGTGGAAAATAGACAAAGAAATCTATAACCTTGGCAGTCTTTCCTATTTCTTTTGCCTGCTCTTGAACCGGCTTTGAGTCCGCCACAAGGCTCTTGAAAAGATGCACCTGAAACAGTATCTGCGGGCAGCTGCATTTGCCAAGCGGCTTTATTGCTGCTTTCCAGCGGCGAAGGCGCAGCAGCAGGAACAGGGAAGGCAGCGCGAGCCTCCCCGGCAGCGGCGGCGGCGGCGGCAGCGGCGGCGGCACCGGCACCAGCGCAGTTTCCCCTCTCCCCAGCCCTGACTCTACGCGCACATGCGCACTGCGCCCGCAGCCCTGGACCATTTGTCAGGACTACTCGTGAGACGGAGAAAAAAAAGAGAAAATTTGGGGGTAAGAAGCGGTTGATCGGATCTAATTTCTAATTAATCTGAAGCTGGGGACGCGCAAAAGCCAGTCATTTTATTTTTCTGGGCGAGGATGAAAGTTGAGAGCCCTACAGCGGGAAGCAAGCGCACCCTCCTCTTGAGAAACAGACCCGGGGAGGGGAAAGGACAGAAGGGGTTTCTCCCCCACTTCTCTCCGCCTCTGGGAAAGAGGCGAAAACTTAATCCCGGGGAAAAAAGTGGGCAAGTGACTCGGCAAGGGCTGGAGAGGGCGTCCCTGGGCATCTCGCTCAGAAGTAGTGAGTGCGAGTGCGAAAGAGGAACAAAAGAGCGAGAAAAGAGAAAGGAAAAAATGGGGGGAGGAGAGACTTGTATTTTTTCCTTTGCGCGCACCCGGGGAAGGGTGTGGGGGGCTGGCGGGAGGGAGGCAGCGGGCGAGGCGGC